ATCTAAGAAAAAATGGTGGGAAAGAAGGCAAAGAAAAGTGGTCAGAGAAATTACTAAATAGGAAAGTAGAAATAAATCTAAATATGCTAGTAGGGACAAAAAATATAAACTGATTAAGTTGTTAAAAGACAGTACTGGCATTAAATTTAATTTTTAAAAATCCAGCTATGTTGTTTATAAAGAAAAAATAAAACATATTGCTTAAAAGGATGGAAAAAGAACTGCTGAGGTAATACTTATCAAATGAAGCCTGAAGTCAAATCTGAAAATCAGTAAGGGTGATAAGGATGTTTCTTCCTCTGCCGTTATCAGTCCTAGGTCCGGTGCTTAGATAGCTTTAAAGCAATGATACACCCAATCTTTGTAAGGCTGGTTCCTTCAGGTTTTTGCGTAAGTATCAATTCCCACTTTCTTGACAAACCAACATAAATAAGTACTTCTCTTTACCATCTAATCCTAATAAATAAAGTCCTTTATTATAATCACGTGTTGAATGATAGTTTATTATCTGTCTTTCTTAACAGAACATAAACTCCATGAGGGCTGGGAAGCACAAGTTTTGAAGACTCAGAGAAATACTCAAAACATTTATCTAGGCAACAGTGTGATGAAATCCAGGTTATTCCTTCTCAGAGTTGATCTTGAAACAAAATGCTGGCTCTTGTACAGCAGTTGTTTAGTGATGTATCTCACAAGTATGCGGGGGATGAGTGACCTATGCCACATGGTTGAAAGAACTATGAAAAGAACGTAAAAAGGGCTACCTCCAGATGTTAATCTACTCCTTTCCTTCAACCTGAATAACACCTTCTGGTCTCATAAATGGTTTAAGCTATCCTTTTATACTTTGTGTTAGTATTTAACACAATTCCCTCTTTGATTAAAAACAATGGAATGATGTTGAACTCAGAGGAGCCAACCAGCTAGGTACTGTAGAAATTTACTAGTAAAGGGAATTCCCTGCCAAGCCGGTGGTTAGGACTTTGAACTTCCAATACAGGGGTGGGTCTGATCCCTGGTTGGGGAACTAAGATCCGATAAACCACATGGCACAGCCAAAAAAAAAAAAAAAAAAAGAAATTAGTATAAATTTGAGCAGAGTATCAAAATTCATCAGAAAACTTAGCTGGTCCTTTTACCTGATTGCTAGGTAATGAATGTGCATGGGCATTAGACCTAACACAGACCCAGTTGGCTTAAAAACAAAAGTCTAGGATGAAAGTTGGATAGTGTCAATAGGACATTCATAAAAAATATGTTTGTCCATATGCTGCAACTCTTGCTTCAGCTGCAATTTTGCAAACTACAAATAAAATTAACGTGAATATCAAGTTAAAAAAGGAGGAAGAACACATAAAAGGTGTATGAAGTCCTTTTCCCCATCTCCTAAATATCAGGCATGTCATGGGGGTACTTCTTAGAAACTTTTTTCTTTCCAGTGGAATTTAAATGGTATATTGGAGAAATTACAGCTTTGTTATATGTCAAAGAAAACTCTACATGGAATAAAGGGGAAGCTATATATCTTAATACCAGAAATGTGAATAAACTATTAGAAAGGTCAGTTGTATAACTGTATAATTTCCTGCCATTATAAAGAATAAAAGCAAAAAGTTTTGCTAGAATCCCACTGCAGAAATATTACACCAAATTATTAATATTTAATAATTAATATTTAAAATGATAGATGAGTCTTCCTCATCTATTACGATGCTGGAAACATGAAATTATATTATGTTGTGATACAGTAGCAAGCATAGCCTGTGAAGCCAGTTAGAGTGTGTTTGATTTCTAGCTTGGCCATTTACTAGATACGTGATTTTAGGCAAAATCTCCGAGTTTCAGTTTCCACATTTGTAAAATGGGAACATCACTTATCTCCTAGAGCTGTCTAGAAATTAAATGAGATAATAAGCCCCAAATGGGAGTTTCCTCCTCCTTCTACCCTAACCTCTAGAATCAATGCTATTGAATAGAACTCGATGGGAAGATGGAAATGCTCTATAAAGTGCACTGTTTGGGCACTTGAAATATGGCTAAAGTGACTGAGAAACTCAATTCATGTAGCTTGTGGCTACCATATTGAACATCACAACATAAAGCCATGAAAGTATGTTTCTCTGAGGCTTTAAATCCTTATGGGAACCAGGAGAGGGTATAAAAATAACAGATTCTCTATGTAAGTTTATCTCAGAATGCAGTTTATCTGAAATAGAGTCGACAGGCTTTGTGGTCAAATATATCCGGATCTGAATATCATGTCTGTATGACCCAACCAATTTACTCCAAATTCCTAAACCTCGAGCTCTCTCTCTTAAAGATAGGAATGTTCACTAACCTCACTGAAGCATTCTGGAGATGACAAAATAATAGATATGATGTAGTAGCTGCTTAACAAATCTGCTTCCTTTCTCCTCCGATATTTTTTGTTTCTTACATGATCACTTTCCTCACAAACTGGCCAAGTGCCTGAACTGTTACTAAACTTAATACTGACAAATGTAGTTAATGCTAATTGTTTCCCAATGTCTGTTTACTCCACTAAATTAAACTGCCAACATTTAATATTTTAAGAACTCAAACTTTAAAAAATATGACTAAAAATAATTTCAACACAGAAAAGCCTCACAAACAATCTTTTAACTCTAAAACCATTATTGAGAACTGGGAGTGGATATTGGCTAGACTCCCTAAACTCATTCTTTCAAGCTACAAAGTCTCATATAAGGATTTTTACTTCTGAACTACTCTGCTACAAAATTCCTTAATTGATTTGAGGATAAAAAAAATTAAAATAAAAACTGAATTTGTTTTATAGCCCGAAATTTTGCTTCAAGACTTCTGGGAAATGTTAGATCTCCTCTTAATGTGAAATATATTCCAAATCCATAAGCTGATCTGGCTAACATTAAGGTTCCTTTCAATAAAAAAGTATTCCAAGTATCTGTTTAGGTTGTTCAAAACTACTTAGAATGAAATAATGGAGTATCATTATTCATTATTCATTCTCTGCCTGTTCATCAGGAAGAACCTGGAAATCAGCTAACCTAAAACTGAGTCTTCTGTTGTCATCTGAGGGGAACCCCCTCACTGGCTCGAGCCACACAAAGACTATCTATATTATAATGATGACTCTCATCTTAATTTAAAAATTTCTATTGCAGAACATTTGCCACTGGGTACTGCCAAATTGTGTCCATGGCTGTCTCTCTTAGCTATTTTCAGATAGTGGCAAGGCATTAATGTGTGAGGACTGATACGCTTCTTTGCACTAAATGCTTGGTTGCTTCACTGTCCATTTAGATAGGGGCTACAAAAGCCGAGTTTTTAGTTTGGGTAAGTTCTGTATTAAAAACCTAGACCTGTACACAATTTCTAATCACTGAATACATAATACTGTGTAAATTCTTGACTAAAAAAAAAAATTAACTAATTTGGTCTGTTCCTTTAAATATTGTCCTTTGGCCCTACCCACATTCGCTTAAGTAAACAAAAATGTATTAACTGTTTCAGCTGATGTGAGTGGGTAGACATCTGGTTTTCATTTTTATACAAGCAGCAAGTACTTTATAAGCTATCTGTGACTTGGCTGGATTGAATGTAAATATATACACAAAATACAAACAACTAAGAAATAGTTCAACACGCTTGTTGTTACCGGGTGTAGAATCTCCCATTTCTCTTCTTTAATCCAATTAACAAACAACAAACCAAAACACTTCTAAAATATCTTCCAGCCACTAAGCACAGAAATCATAAGTGTACAGTTGCAGGTGTCAATAAACATCATGAACTAACAGATTAAAGAGGAAACCAACTTGTTTTTAGATTTGCCAACCCCTTGATTTTAAAACTTGGATGTCCTCTTTCAAGTTAACAGGTCATTATAGGTCTCTAATTTTATTTACTTTTATTGTAGTAACCCCCTAAAAGCTCAGAATAACTACACAACCAGAATGTACAATGTTGCTCAATTTTATGGTATGCCAACAGGTTTCATGAGTCTGAACTGAAATGTTTGCTATAACTACATTGTTAAAGAAGGGTTTCTAAACCAACCACCTTACATACACAGTTCTCTGAAAGCAAAGCTTTAGAAACATTTAACTTGCAGAACTGGTGCATGGTGATATGAATTTACAGCTGTTTATAAAGTTCTTTCTTCTCAGTGAAAACAAAGTAAGTGATAATCAACGTGTATTTTAATACTTGCCTTCCTGCTACAAAAAAAAAAAAAAAAAGAAACTGTACAAGCACGCCTGCTGGGTATATGAGTTCCACCTCCAAAACTCAGGGCGAATAACCTTGCCAGTATTTATTAGGATCTGCATTCTGATCAGCCTCATCCCACATAGACTGTTAATCTTGGAAAACATCTCTGTATCAAAACCGGTTTAAAAAAAAGTCAAGGTGCTGCATATGGGACCGGATTTGATAGATTCTAGAAGGTTGGGACTTGGAACTACGTGTACTTAAACGTGGCCTTACGGGGAGTAGTAGATAAGCGCTCTGTGGCGCGCACACACGCACGCACACACACACACACACACACACACAAAAGTAAAGAAAGTTGTGAATTACAGGGCCTAAAATTTTAGGTCCCTACTTCAGAAATCTTCCTTCTTTCCTGCCCACAACGATTCCAGAAATCAAAAAGCTCAGTAAATGCTGAGGGCCAGCATGACTGGCGACAACTAAAAGATTTTTGAAAAATTCAGCCCAAGAAAACGCTGAGAAGAGAAATGGGATAGGAAAAAGATGAAAATTCAGAGCTCATTGCTGGGGCGACACTGAGATGCGAACTCGAGGGGTAAACACCGGTGGGGCCCGCGGCTGGGGCGTGTGGGAGGCGGGCCGTCTCAGGTGCGGCAAATACGACTCGGGGGTCCAGATGTCGAGAAGGCTGGCAAACTAACCCGGTGCCCAGGGGCCTCCCCATCAGAAGGGGTCGTGCTTGAGCTGCAGGGGGTCCTCCCCCTCCCCTTCCAACTCCTCCTCACCCGGGCCGTAGAACTTGCTGCCTTTGGTCACGTCGAAGACTTTCCCATTGACCGCAAGCAGGATGCGCGGGTTGCGAGACCCGTCGTACTGGCGCAGCTGCTCCAAGCTGAAGTCCCGCTTCTTCATACGAGGCAAAGAGGCAGCGGGGCTCTCTTCGCCCGCTCCGGCCCCGGCGCCCAGACCCCGCCGCCCCCAGCGCACCCACAGCCGGTAGGCCCCCAGCAGCACCAGCGCCACCAGCGCCACGTTCAGCAGCATCTCCCCGCCCCCCGTCAAAAGCGCCAACACCGTTGCCGACCAGCCGCCCCCTTCTGCTGCAGCTCCCGCGCCGCCCGGGCTCTCGCTGCTACCGTCGCTGCTGCTCTCGCTGCCACTCCCCAGGGTGCCTAAATTCACGTCCCCATCACCCGCCGCCATCACTGCCCGCCAGCGCCTTCCTCCTCCTCCCCGCCCCCTGCCCTCCCCAACCCCACGGCCGGCCCCGCCCATATGGGGCTTCCTAGCCAATAACGTGAGGGCAGGGGGCGGGGTCAGGCCAGCTCCCGATTGGGTGTTTACGCGGTAACGTGGTCTTGGATCTCTCCCTCAGCCTTCCTTTTGCTGGCCGCGTTCGCGTGCGACGCCCCGCCCACCTCGCCCCACACTTCCCTGCTCTCGCCTCTCTCCTCTAGTTGAAGTACAAGAGGGGGGCGGGTCTGAAGAGAAGATGCTGCGCCGGCCGCGCGCGCGCGCCCGGGCGGGGCGAGGCTACGGCGCGTGCGCGGGTTCCGGGGCGCCACGAGCTCTCCTTTCCTCTGCAAGCCCTCTGGGAGGCACGGCCTGCCCAGTCCTCCGGCTGTGCGCATGCGCTCACGGACCCCGCCCCTTCCCTGGTCTGGGTTTGCGTACGCCAGCTCCCGCCTCTTCGCCCACGCTGCGCTTCAGAGCCTCAGGTGCGCTGAGGCGGCTGCTGAGGCGGCCTCTCTCGGACACTTTTCCGAGGGTGCGGGCTAGTGGTTAGTGAGAAGCTGCGACATAGTTTTAACCGCTTCGCGCCCCGAAAAGGGGTGTCTTTTCTCCCATGGGCGCCGTCACGCCTGTCCAGACGCCCGGAGCGTGGGCGCGCAGGCAAAGCTACGGCCCAGAAGTTTTGGCGACGAGCTGGAGTCGCCTGGCGCCGAGAGAGTGCACGGAACTCGCACTGGGATTGTTTGGCGAAAGGAATCTACCTGCTGTCTTCGAGGACACCGAGTAGCCACTCCCCAGTGGTTTTGGCCAAGGCTGCTCCTGTAGAATTTTCTTTCGCATTTTAGACGAAAGGTGTCGGTATTCCTTAAGTCGCACTCACTGGGGCAGTAGGGAAGTGGATAGGGTGAGGTGGGCCCTCAGTTCGCTTGTTTAACTTAATCTGCAGTTTCTTTCCATTTATGTAGGGCGTATAGTCTTTTGAGTCCTTAAAACTTCGGCGTAAATGTCACCTCTGAACCCTTATACTGAGCGCGTCACCTCACGCTCTGAACTCCTTTGTTGTGCTCCCTCTCGCTCTAGCTTGTTTTGTGTCGCTAGTTCCCCCACCCCTACCCCCTCGCTGTAAACTACCCTCGTGGTGAATGAGGTGTGTCAAGGGAGTAACAGTTTCCGTTTAATCTGGAGGAACTTGCAGAGTGGAGGAGAGATGTGGGCAAACTGGAGCGTATGGTATGCTAATTAGGGAAACAGCAAGTGGTCCATTTTGGCTTTTAAGTACCGCAGAGGAGCGAAGTCTGGAGACCTAAGCTTGTAATCGTAGTATCATGGGATTGGCTTGGACTTTATAGGAGGAGTCTCAGCAGATACTGAAGGGAAAGTGACAGGATCAAAACTTCTGTAGAGCGATTATCTACTAGGATTGGTATGAAGGGTTGGAGTGGGGAAAAGGACTCAGAGGTTAAAAGACTACAAGACCTAGGTAGATGAAAAGAAACTGCAGATTAAGTTAAACAAGCGAACTGAAGGCCCACCTCACCCTATCCACTTCCCTACTGCCCCAGTGAGTGCGACTTAAGGAATACTGACACCTTTCGTCTAAAATGCGAAAGAAAATTCTACAGGAGCAGCCTTGGCCAAAACCACTGGGGAGTGGCTACTCGGTGTCCTCCGAAGACAGCAGGTAGATTCCTTTCGCCAAACAATCCCAGTGCGAGTTCCGTGCACTCTCTCGGCGCCTGGCGACTCCAGCTCGTCGCCAAAACTTCTGGGCCGTAGCTTTGCCTGCGCGCCCACGCTCCGGGCGTCTGGACAGGCGTGACGGAGCCTATGGGAGAAAAGACACTCCTTTTCGGGGCGCGAAGCGGTTAAAACTATGTCGCAGCTTCTCACTAACCACACTGGGAGAGTAGGAGTAAAATTGTCCCAGACAAACCTCATGCAGTCATCATAAGGTTAGAGGTTAAGCGAAATAAAAGCCACCTTAGAACCTGGTAAAAAGGATGTGGTGGCAATGATGGAAACGGGGAACTTGGGAAGAAACTGGTTTTTGGAGGAAGATGACTGTAGCAGTCCCAGGTGTTACATGGTTCATACAACATCAGCGGACAGACATCTCCCCAGAGGGTTCATAGCAGGTCACTCCTTATATCTTATTTTTCCAAAATTAGGCTATTAGCTAGTTTCTAAACCAGTTACTGATAAGGAGCACAGGATTACCATGATTTGTTAGTGTTTTTCTGGCTTTTCACTGTTCTTACACAGAATTGTAGACTTTAAGCATCTCTGGTGCCTTCCTACTGAATGTCAGTAGCAACCCCAGACATTGTGACATGAAAAAAAAAAAGCAACCAATCCAAAAAATTCTCTTTCCCTCCATCCCCCACACACGCCCTCAAGAGATGATACTGGTTAAGAACCACTGGCTTAGACCAATCGGAATTTATTTTGGAACTGAGTTATGTGTGTATAGATTTTTTTTTGTTTCTGATTGGTTTGGAGGGAAGAGAGGAGTCATAAAACAGTATTGAAGTTACATTGTCAAGGAAATGGCAGGGAGAGGGAATGTTGAATAGCTAAGTAACATTGTCTGCCATGAGAATTAAACATTTTCTTTTATATTCTTGATAAATACCTCAGTTTTACACTTGAAGCCTTTCTCTTTTTTCTTTTCATTTTTAGGTCTCCCCCTGCCTCCCCCCCCCCACCCCCCCACTTGCAGGAAAATATCTCTCCCAGTAGGATACTATTGTCTTGAATACTGCAATAGCTTTCAGACTGGAGGCCTGTTCTTTTTGTTTTTTTTTAAGTTTTTTAAGCTTTTTATTTTGTATTGGGATATAGCCAATTAACAGTGTTGTGATAATTTCAGGTGAACATCGAAGGAACTCCACCATACATATACATGGATCCATTCTCCCCCAAACTCCCCTGTCATCCCGGCTGCCACATAATATTGAACAGAGTTCCATGTGCTATAAAGTAATTCCTTGTTGGCTGTCCATTTTAAATACGGCAGAGTGTACATGTCCATCCCAAACTCTCTTAACTATCCTTTCTTCTCATCTTTCCTCTTACTTTTTTTTTTCATTTATTTTTATTAGTTGGAGGCTAATTACTTTATAATATTGTAGTGGTTTTTGTCATACATTGACATGAATCAGCCATGGAGTTACATGTATTCCCCATCCCGATCCCCCCTCCCACCTCCCTCTCTACCCGATCCCTCTGGGTCTTCCCAGTGCACCAGGCCTGAGCACTTGTCTCATGCATCCAACCTGGGCTGGTGATCTGTTTCACCCTAGATAATATACATGTTTCGATGCTGTTCTCTCGAAACATCCAACCCTCGCCTTCTCCCACAGAGTCCAAAAGTCTGTTCTGTACATCTGTGTCTCTTTTTCTGTTTTGCATATAGGGTTATCATTATCATCTTTCTAAATTCCATATATATGTGTTAGTATACTATAATGGTCTTTATCTTTCTGGCTTACTTCACTCTGTATAATGGGCTCCAGTTTTATCCATCTCATTAGAACTGACTCAAATGAATTCTTTTTGATGGCTGAGTAATAGTCCATGGTGTATATGTACCACAGCTTCCTCATCCATTTGTCTGCTGATGGGCATCTAGGTTGCTTCCATGTCCTGGCTATTGTAAACAGTGCTGCGATGAACATTGGGGTGCACGTGTCTCTTTCAGATCTGGTTTCCTCGGTGTGTATGCCCAGAAGTGGGATTGCTGGGTCATACGGCAGTTCTATTTCCAGTTTTTTAAGAAATCTCCACACTGTTCTCTATAGCAGCTGTACTAGTTCCTGCTCTGTCTTTCCCTCCATTCTTACATGGACTAGTCATGTATACTGATTTTCCTTTACTCCTTTATCTCCAGTGCTGCTCAACCTAACTCTGAAACTCTGTTGGCACTCTGTAAATCCACAGATGGCTTCCCTGACTTTCCCTTACAGATGTAATCCACTGCTTACTGATTAACTTGTCATCTCTATGGAAGATGTATCTCTTTAAGCTTGACCCCTCTCTGTGAGGTATTAGTACTAACCAACAAATGTTTCTGTTTCTTTTCTCAGACACATAGCTGACTTGCATCTCCCTACTCCTTTGAACTCAGCATAGCCACTGAAATGTGATTGAAGTGATCTGTCACTTGCAAGCAAAAGTGATTAATATAGGAACCTGTGCACCATTTCACATGTCTCCTTTTGGCATAGTGATGGAATGTTTTAGTTATATATTGCTGCATGACAAACCATCCCAAATCTTGGTGACTTAAAGCCATAACCATTTCATAATCTCTCGGTTTTGTGGGTTGAATGGGCTCATGGGCAGTTGTCTCATCTTGCTTGGGGTCTCTCACGTGGTTCCAGCTGGGTATTGTCGGGCTGGAGTAATTTGGAGGCGTGACGGGGATGCTCGAATGACTGAGCCTTTCTTTTCCCAGTGTTATTCCAGGGCCTCACTTCACGTGGCTTCTCCTGCAGAGTAGACTTCTTATATAGTGGCTCAGGGCTCTTCAAAACTGCAAAAGCTTTCAGATTCCTCCAGTCTATTTCTAAAACTTAGGTGTGGAAATAACTCATTCTATTGGTTAAAGCTGTCACAGGGCCAACTTAGTTTCAAGGGGAGGGGAAATAAAGTCCACTTCTTGATGGGGACTTGGGAGAAGAGTGACAAAGAATTTGTAGCCTTATTTAATCTACCACCCCAACAGTGTTCCACATGGTGGCTGCTTTCGTCAGCTAGGGTCTGAGAGTCAGAACAAAGTGGAAACGGTCCTTAGTTAACACACATGGTTGTAGGAGTGAGAAATACGTTTCTGCTATTCTGAGTCACTGAGATATTTGGGGTTGTTTGGTAGCAAATGAAGACTGATCTAATACAAAAATTGGTACTGGATGTAGAGCACTGCTGTAACAAAAACCTAAAATATATGGCATTGACATATATGAATATGTTAGAAATGGTGGTGGTTGGTTGGTAGGCAGCATCCAGCTCTGATTCACTAAGGAATCTCTCAGCAAATCTATCTTAGAAATTTGAGCTGAATAAATATTTCTTAAATAAGAGAGACTGTTTCTTATAATTCTGTTCTATTTCTCTATTTTAGGAGAAAACACTTCTTTCCCACATCAGATGTTTCTTGAAGTATGGAGGGGGTGCCACTAACATAACACTTGATACTTTATTCCAGCACTTCTAGCAAGTTTCCTGATGTGTAAGTTTGGCATGTGCAGCACACCTTCCTCTCTCTTTTCTCATGGGAGCCAGGCCGCCCACAGAAAGTCTGCTTCCTACTCTGCTGCTTCATACCACAAGTTTTACAGTCGTTTGCCCATGCTGAGGGTGGCCTGCCCAGGCCAAGGGAGGTTTGGGGTAAGCTTAATAGTTTAAGTGCTCTGGGGGAAGGGGAACTTCAGGCTGGAGCTAAGTTCACTGGCAAGAAGTGATAAAATCTGTTATTTGAACTTTAGTTCACAAGAGCAAGAGAGTTAACAAGTTGGATATTAATAATTTTGGACTTTAACATGAAGTCAGTCCTGATTACTTTGGGCTATAATTCAGCGGAACAAGATAGTGTAATTTCTGAGCTTTTCATTTCTTGCTGAAAAATTCATATTGGGAGGAGATCATAATCAGATTGAAGACATCTCTTTGGCTCTTAATTTTTAGAGTATTTTTATGTTACTGTTTGATCTTGTTCCAACAATGTTGAACAAGATAGTGGGACATAATTTGAGGTGGCAATAGAACAGGTTGTGAATTACAGCTCCCATGTACAGAATAACATGGGAGCTCATTTAATTGGTGTA